GCGGCGGGTTCAAAGGGGCACTCGGCTTCCAGGAAACCGAGTGGGGCTTGGCAGTTACCAGCGGGCCCCTCAGGACCTGGGCTGATCATTCCGCCCCTCACCTGGGAGAGGGGATGACAAGAGCGCACCTGGAAGGACGTGCCGTGCAGCATCGTCCTCTTACCCGCTCCGAGTCTGTCCCCAAGGCTGTGGACATCCCTGTCCATCACCCCGCCTCGCTCCCCAGCCTCTGCCTCTCCGACCCCCACCCAGCCCGCAGCTCCCTCTCTGTCACTAGGCCTCTCATCCCCGGGGGAGCCGGAGGGACCCTCCTCACCTTGGCTTCCTCACCCCGTAACAAGTGAGGCCCTGAGTCGTCCCTCTGAGGACATCAGTAATAAGGGAACAGGCCCTGGGCGGGCCACTGCAGGCGGGGCGGCCCCAGTCTCAGTCCCAGCAGCAGGACCCTGAGCTCTGGACCCGGGGAAATCCGGCGCTCGTCTGCATGCGATTTGCATCATATTTGCATGGGACCAATTTCATGTTCAAAGGCGCGATCCCGGCCCCAGGGTTCCCCCACCCCTGGCCCCAGGCCCGACCCGGCACCCCCAGCCCCTGCACCCCCGCCCCTCCCCCCTCCCCGCGCCGGCCACAAGCCTCCCCCTCCTTGCCCTCCTCCCTGCGGGGTCCCCCGCCCCCAGCCCCCGCGCGACCCGCGGGGACCCCCTCGCCCCCCCAGGACACATTCCCGGGGGGCCGCGGGCTCGGGAGGGGCATCCCCGCCCCCCTCCGCGCCGGGCGCAGCAGACAGCGAGCGCTGCTCGGCAAATCCCAGCCCATTCAGCCCCGTGATTGATGGCGCTGCCCTCCCCATGAACCTGCCTTTAATACTGAGGAAGTTATGAAACCGCCATACATCAGCAGCTCCGGCCGCGCCCGCCCCCCGCCCCCCGCCCCCCCGCACCCCTCCCCCGCACCCCCCCCCCGCGCCCCTCTTCAAAATCTCATTTGGGCTCCAGCCGCCGGCCCACAGCCCGGCCTCCGCGGGGGAGGGGGCGCCTGCCCCCCCGCAGCCCCCAGCCCCTCGTCCGCTGGCTCTCCCCTCCTCCCCCCTCCCCTCCTCCCCGCCCTCCTCCCCCCTCCCCGCCCCGCCCCCTCCCCCATCCCCTCTCTCCCCTCCCCTCCCCTCTCCCCTCCTCCTTCCCCCGTCCCCTCCCCTCCCCTCCCCCTCCCCCCATCCCCTCTCTCCCCTCCCTCCCCTCCCCCTCCTCCCCTCCGCGGCTGCATCTCCGGACCCATTTAGAATTGCTGACATTTTATCTGCATTACATACATCACTCCGTCCCCAGCAGCCATCTCTCATGGATGGGGGGGGTCCAGCGCTCGGGAAGGGGTGGGAAGTAGGGCGGAGGTGGGGCGAGGAGCACTTCCCCCGCACCCCTGTCCCTGGGGGTCCCCGGGGGGTCCCCGGGGGCTCCCAGCAGCCCCCTGGAGGTCATGCCGGTGGGGACCCAGGGCAAGGGCAGGTGGGCCAGGCTCCCAGGCAAGGCCCTGCTCCCTTACAGCATCGCAAGACATTTTCTGAGACCACACGGCCCTGAAAGGTCACGTTGCCCGCTCCCCCTGCTTCCATGGGGCTCCCCCACAGGACACCCTGGAGGTGCTGCTACGTCTGTCAGCCTGCGCTCTGATGTTCCCTTCTGGGAAGTCCCTCTGAATATCTAACCGCTGTGCCTCGTGCTGCAGTCATTATTTTCTTCCCGCTTCGTCCTTACAGGTTGAAAAGCAGTATTGCCTCTCAGATGAATTAAACCCTTTGTTCCAGGGCCCCAGCCACCTAAATACGGCCGCCCGCCCACACCCTCATTCTTATGAATGGGATAGGACGCAGAAGATGGGGCCACCCCAGAAAGGAGGGAACCGACACCCAAATCCCAGAGGGGGCAAAGGGAGAACCTGTCCGAGACCAGGAGGCCAGGACCCAGGGGTCCCACAAGCCCCAGCGAGCCGTTTTGTCTCGCTGGAGAGATGGACAGGGCGGCCGCGATGACAGACGGAGCGGTCGGGACCAACAGACAGACAGCAGAGGGGGCGGGAAGGAGAAGCCGGAGAGAGACGGGCAACAAAGAGACAAACAAACAAAGAGCTAGACAGACAAAGGGACCGTCCGCCAGGGACAGGCAGACAGGCCAGGGGAAGCTGACCTCGCGGTGTCTCGGGCTGGACGCACGAGGACGGCCCCGGCTGTCTGTCCGTCAGTCAGGTCTCTGCTGGATGGCGTCTCTCAGGATCTCTGGGGCGCTGTGCTCACGGGCTCCGGGACCCCCAGTCCCCCGCTGTCTGTGGTTCCAGCAGCCCCTTCGGCCTCGGGCCCCCCACGCCGCTCGGGGGAGCAGACAACTGCCCGAGGTGTGGGGGCTCCCAGGGGACTGGGCCAGTCCTGCAGGGATGGGCGGGGGGCAGGGCTCTGCTCCAGGGGGGCTCCTGGGCCTGCGGGACCCAGAGCCGGGAAGGCCAAGCTGAGGTGCTGTGGCAGGAGGGCCCTCACAGGAGGGGGAAGGCAGGGAGGTGACAGGACCCTTGGGTGCCCCCACCCTCCCCTAGCTCACCCCCCACAAACAGACCTCAGGCAGGGGTGTGGCGGGGAGTGGCTGGCTTGCATGCTGTTTGCATCTCATCTGCATGTCCCTGGTCCCCAGTCATCCCACACACCTTGTCCCTCCAATTCCAGGCTCCCTCTAGCTCAGTCTGGCCCCAGAGGGCTGGGGGCAGAGGGCGGTGGGAGTGCGGTGAGTCTTCCTCAGGCACCTCCTGCCAGCGCAAGACACTTCCCTGCCCGCCCAGGGCACCTCCTCTCCTCCCAGCGTCCCACCCCCACGCACCAGCCACGCAGTGTCCTCCGGACTCTCACTGTCCCCCTCTGACCTTGTCCCCGCAGTTCCCCAGCCCTCACCACCCTTCTCTGTTTGGTTCAACGTCAGCCATTCTTTAAGGGCAGGGCTCCAGGCCTTCCTCCCCCACGAAGACTTCCTTGGGCACCCAGTCCACAGTGGTCACCAAACTCCGGCTCTCAATCCTGGAAGGCACCTCAAGAATCCACACTCTTGGGATCCCTGGGGGTCTCAGCGGTTGAGCGGCTGCCTTCGGCCCAGGTCGCGACCCCGGGGTCCCGGGATCGAGTCCCGCATCGGGCTCCCTGCATGGAGCCTGCTTCTCCCTCTGCCTGTGTCTCTGGCTCTGTGTGTGTGTGTCTCAGGAATAAATAAATTTAGAAGAAAAATCCACACTGTTTTGCCTTGCGTACCTTCGGGTAAGTGATGCATCACTCTCCCCATTTTACAGATGAGGCAGCCGAGGCCCAGGGTCAGTTAGATAAGCTTCCCAGGGCAGGAGAGGCAGCAAGTAGGGAGAAAAATGGGAGCGCAGGCCACTCCTCTCAATGTCCCCTGTCCTACCCTGTCCTTGTCATTCATTTGGTCCTGAGCAAGACCCTGTTCTGCCCCCCAGGTCTTGCTGTCCAGCGAGCAAACCATTACATATCGTTGCTTAACTTCTCCTGGATTGGGGTTTCCATCTCCCACAGGCTCCCCAGGATCCAACCCCACAAAAGCACTGGCAGTTCCCTGCATTCTGTGCCCTTTCTTAGCAACAAGCCTGTGCCCACGGGGGTCCTCCAGCAAGAGCACCTTTCTTCCCACCGCCTCATGAACTGGGAAGGTTTCAGCCCCTCCCTCAAAACCCAGCTCAACTGTGGCCTCCTCCGTGAAGCCTTCCCTGCCGTTCCTGTGAACGCCCCCAACACACACCACACTTAAGCCTTGAGGGAAGGACTTGTCACGCTGCTCCTTGAGGCCAAGCCGCCCTGTTTGGCGCTTTCCCCAGAGCCCACGTTGTTGAATCGGACCCAGTTTCATCACCACCTTTTTTTTTTTCCTTTTTAAAATTTAATTTATTTATTCACGAGAGACACACACACATACAGAGAGAGAGAGAGAGAGAGAGAGAGAGAGAGAAGCAGGCTCCATGCAGGGAGCCCGACGCAGGACTCGATCCCAGGACCCGGGGTCATGCCCCAGACTCAAGGCGGCGCTAAACCACTGAGCCACCTGCGCTGCCCGCAGCTTGGTTTTCTAAATAATCTCCTCCACCTAACAATACTGAACGAAGGAAGGAAGGACGAGAAGAAGGCAGAGGAACAGAGGAACAGAACTGAAGAGGAGCAGAGGAAGAAGGAAGGAAGGGAGAGCAAAAAACAAGGAACGAGAGAGGTGGGGCGGGGGCAGCGGGGAGGAGGAGGGATCCTCCAGCAGAGACCCTGGCCTTGGGCCTTCCCAACACCCCTGCACCCCTGGCTCTGCTTTCCCGTCTGGGAAATGGGCGCACGGCTCCTTCTCCAAGGACGAGTGAGGCTGGGGAGGGCGGCAGAGGACGGAAGCCCCCACTGGGCACGCTGTGCCACCCGAGGTCCCGCAACACGCTGCCTCGCGACACCCACCTGGGAGGCAGGGACCATCCTCCCCCGCAGACGCAGGGGCCATGCACCTCCTGGAGGTTGGGCGCAGTCCAAGACCCCAGCCCGGGGCCCTCTCCGTTGAGGACAGACAAGAGGCAGACGACACCTGGGCCCTGCGCCCACTGAGCCCCTGCCTCGCGGGCTGGCGATGCTCAGTCTGACCCTGAGGACTTCCCAGGGGCTCCGGAGCCGCTGGAGCAACGCGCCCCCGCTGTTGGGTCGCCCTTCCCTCTGCCCCGTCCGCAGCCCGGGAGGGGGGCTCAGGGCTGCTTTTGAAAGGTCACACGGGCCTCTTCCTCATCCCCAGAACCCACAGGCCCGGAACATCCCCGGGCCCCTGAGGCTCGGCGCCGCAGCCACAGGTGAATGTAGCGCCCTCCCCTCCCCCCTCCCTAGGATGGGAGCCCTAGGGTGCTGGATCACAGGCGACCCCCCAGAGCCGAGCTCCTCACCGGAAACAGGCAAGTGCCCTGTGTGCAGCCGCTGTCAGAAGCTCAAGCCCCTCCTCTGTCGGGAAGTCCCTCCTGACGTCTAGCTCACATCTGTCCCGCTGCCATCAGTCCAGGCCTGAGCCCTGAGGCCAAAGCAGAATGTGAGCTCTGCGGGTTAGAGGATGGGGAGCGGGATAAATACTTTAGGCCTGGGGGTCAGGAGAAGGGGTCCTGGAGCCCGAGCCCTCCCCCAGTAGCAGGAGGAATGGAGGGGAGACTCCCCGACACAGAAGAGAGGTCTGTCTGGGCGGGAGTGTGACAGGCAGCGGCTGTGTCCCCGCCGGGACCCCCATTGGGCCGGGGCACTGGAGCCGCGGTGGCAGCAGCAGTGGCACCTCCAAAGCTGGGCGGGCGGCTGGGAACCCGCAGCTCCCCGGGGGGAAGGAAGCGCCTGGGCCCGGAGCCCCCTTGTGGCCGCGGGCAGGCTGAGCAGGGGGGGTCGTGGGGCGCCCAGGGCACAGGCCCAGCCTGCAGCCCGAGCTCAGGCAACCGGCGAGCACAGCCGCTGTCACCCCCAGCCCCGCGGACCCCGTCCCCGCGACCCGGATGGCTGGGGGCCGGGCACAAGGCCCAGAGCAGGGACAGGGCTGAGCCGCGGGAGGAGGGCGCCCCAGCATCGGGGGCCCAGGGCCCAGCCCTGCCCCGGCGGCCGCGATGACCTCAGGGAACCCTGCAGTCACCCCAGACCCTATAGGGACTTGGGGTGTGTGGAGCAGCACCCAGAGAGGCGGAAAGGGTCATCACGGTGGACCGAGGCCAGGCCCCCAGCCCAAGGCCTCCCTCCTGGCTCCTCCCTTTGGCCCTTTGGAAGTTCTTCCCAGCAGCTAACCTCAGTCCTTCCTGCTGGGACTGAGAGGACTCCTCCCTGGGGATTATTCTGGCTTTTTTGCCTCTGTTATAAACTGAACAAATCAATCTTTTTTTTTTTTTTTTGAACAAATCAATCTAAACCCAACTGGGGATGGAAGAGAGGGAGGAGCCACGTAAGACAGGTGATGACCAGAAAGGGGCCGTGTCCACCCTCTTTCCTCGCACCTGTGTGCAAGGAGCGGGGCGCGTTGGGCTGCACTGGGGGGGCCCGGGGCGCCTCACTGGGGACACTTCTCAGAGGAAGGCGGACGCTGTGGAGGTACGTCGGAGCTCCAGGACCCGGAGATGAGCGCCAGAGAGAGGAAGGCAAACCGGGGAGACACGGAACGGACGTGTGTTGTCCCCAAAGAGCAGAGCAAGCGCACAGAGGGTGGGGCGAGGGGCCGGGCCTGCCGCGGGCTCCTGAGCAGCTCAGGGTTGTTCCAGGGGCCGCTCCGGGGCAACGGGGCCTGCGTGGGGGCTCAGGGAGTGCAGCCCCGTGGCCACCCCCCACTCCCTGCGCAGGGGAGAGTGAGCAGAGCTGGGCAACAGGAGCCCAGGTGGCCCCAGCCCTCTGGCTAGCGGCTGCGCTTGGAGCCCTGGGCTTGGGGAACGGGTCCAGGCCGACCCCGGGGCTCCTGGATCAGGGGGGCCTGGGAACCCGGGCTCTGGCCAGCACCCCCACCGGCCCCCTAGTGACTCGGAGTCCACGCCTGACAACTGCTGGCTTAGTCTCAAGCTATCATTTTTCGGGGGAGAGAAATGAGGCCCGGAGAAGCAGAGCCCCCTCCCAGGTCGCCAGCTGCACGCTGGACCCATGCGACTCCGAACCCCATGACTCCCAACCCCATCGCCTGACTCAGGAAATAGCTCTGGCCGCGCCCCCCAGGCGTTGGGGCCTGTCCCTCCCTCGGCGCAGGGACCGACGCCTCCTCCTCGTGCCTGGGGCCCTGAGCCACCGGTGTTCGCTGTCCATGTCCGCGGCATCTGTAGGATGAAGGACCCCGTCCGCCCGTCCCTCCTGGCCCCTGACCGCCGGCAGCAGGTTCGGGTGAGTCCCTGGGGAGAGGCCGGAGCGGCCAGCTTGCTGCCTCCAGTGTGAGGCCCGCAGGAGGGGGGCCCGGACACCCTGGCCTTGCTCAGCGCCCAGGAGCGGAGGACCCAGCTCTGGGCTGGGGCCCCGTGGGCAGGCGGCTGGGCCGCTCATCCTCCAGGAGCACGCGGGGTCAGCAAACCCCTCCGAGAGCAGGCGGTGGCCGTGCCACGGAGACACTGACAGGTGTGGGCGCCTCGCTGCACCCCCGCCGAGGGCCGGAGACACATGGAGCTGAACGTCGCCACTGAACGCAGGGTGACGCTCTGGGGCCCCCACCCAGCCCGGCTTCTGCGCAAGGTCCCTCCCCAGCCTGGAGGGGACTCACCTTCCTGCTCTGGACCCTCCCAGACACGCGGGTCCCCCGCCGCCAGCCTCGGGGTCCCTTCAGGTCTGCGGGAGGGAAGACGAGACTGAGCCCGGGAAACGGAGGCTGAAGCTCCGTGCAGGTCGGTCAGTGACCTTCCAAAGCCACGTCTGTACCCGGTGCTGGCCGGTGGCCACGGGCATAGAGCGAGTGGACAGACAGCGCGGACGGAAAGAAGCAGCGAGGCGGGAGCGAAGGGGAGAACCGAGGCTCGCGGGGTGAGAGGAGGGCAGCCTGCTTCCAGGGGCCTCAGCTTCCCTTTTGAAGCTATTGCCCTTTTTTAAGATTTATTTATTTAAAGATTATCATTTATGGGGATCCCTGGGCGGCTCAGTGGTTTAGCACCTGCCTTTGGCCCAGGGCGCAGTCCTAGGGTCCCGAGATCGAGTCCCGCGTCGGGCTCCCTGCGTGGAGCCTGCTTCTCCCTCTGCCTGTGTCTCTGCCTCTCTCTCTGTGTGTGTATCATGAATAAATAAATAAATAAAATCTTTAAAAAAGATTATCACTTATTTGAGAGAGACAGTGCGTGGAGGGGCAAAGGGAGAGGGACAGAGAATCTTTTGTTTTTAAAGATTTTATTTATTCATATGAGAGAGAGAGAGAGAGAGAGGCAGAGACCCAGGCAGAGGGAGAAGCAGGCTCCATGCAGGGAGCCCGATGTGGGACTCGATCCCGGGACCTTGGGGTCATGCCTTGAGCCAAAGGCAGATGCTGACCCGCTGAGCCCCCGGGTGTCCCGGGACACACAGAATCTTAAGCGGACTCTGCGGTGGGCGTGGAACCTGACGCAGGCCTGGATCTCTTGACGCTGAGATCGTGACCAGATCGCGACTCTCACTGAAAGGCTCAGATGCCTAAACCACGGGGCCACCCAGGCCTTAGTGAGAGCCCATGCAGAGCTTCGTGGGAGCCCCCCCCCCGCCCTTCCGCTGCCCAGTGGTTCCGGCTCCCTGTGGATTCTGGGAGCACCCCAGGCCCCTTCAGGAGGAGCACAGAGCAGCTGGGGGGGGCAGGAGAGGGAGTTCTAGTTCTGCATCTGCCACCAATGTGCTTTGTGATTTGGAGAAAGGACCCACCCTCCAGGGCCTCGGCGCTCTCTGATCCCCGCCGCCTGCTGCCCCCCCGACACCCCCCCCCGTGCCAGCGCTCAGGGCTAGTGTAAGTGGTGGAGGGGCGTGGGTGGAGAGACGCTGGACCAGGATCCACACCGATGGATCTTCCTCTTTTACGGAGGGGGACCCCGAGGCCCAGAGAGGGCCGGTCCTGCCAGGACAGGGGGGAGCCACAGCCCCCGGTGCTCTGAGAATGACCCAGGCACCAGGAGCAGCAGCAGCAGCGAGGGAAGGCCTGACGGGAAGGCGGCCTCCCAGCCTCCCCCCCGCCCCCCCACCCTGCCTACTGGACCCCAAGATCCGCAGGAGGCAGGAGGCTGGAGAGCCCTGTGCCAGCAGATGGCCGAGGGTGTGGGTTGCACGGGGAGCTGCACGGAGCTCACGCAAAGGCTGGGCTCCCCCACTTACTAGCCGAACTTCTGTGCCCCGCAGGGTGCAGGCCGCGTAACCGCCATCCCAGGGTTCTCGGAGGGGGAAGCCCCTGCCCGATGGGACGTGCTTGGCGCGTGGCGGGTGCCGGGCCAGCGGCCAGAGGAGCGGGGCTGGGCCTGCCCCGTAGGGCACAGGGCGCTCAGCGCTCGGAGCCTCCTCGGGACCCCCTGCGCAGCGGGCCACCCTGGGCGAGGCCTCGCGTCCTCCGGGGTAGGAGGCTGAGCAGTCCAGGGTGCCTCCCTTGGAAGGTTGTGGAAGGGCTCAGTGATGAAACGATCGGAGGCACGTGGCAATAACCACTCCACAAATGTTTTAACTGTTGTTATGATTATAAGAGCTCCAATCTCCAGAGACCCAGATTCTGGGGAAGGAGGCCAACCTTGGCCGAGCCGCGTGGAAGAGGAGGCGGCCGCAGAGCTTCGGGGCGGGGGAAGGTCGGGGCCGCCTCCCACAGGCACCCCCGGGCCCTGGGAGCTGCGCAGGCCCTCGCTCTGGAGCCCAAGCTTGTGGGTTGGTTTGTTTTCCACTTATTTATTCATGAGACACACAGAGAGGCAGAGACACAGGCAGAGGGAGAAGCAGGCTCCCCGCTGGCACCCGATGCGGGGCTCGATCCCTGGCCCCGGGGGTCATGACCTGAGCCCCCAGGGGCCCTGCAGCGCAAGGGCGTGAACAGAACAGCACACAGGCCGTGGTCACGCCGACACACGTGTGCACAGTGAGGAGCACCGAGCAGGAGCCCGGGAGCCCCCCTCCCCGCCGCACCCCGCAGGCCGCTTGCCCCCTGGGGCCTGAGCCTCCTCCTCTGCAGAAGGGGGTGGGCCTCCGAGGGCCCCCTCCCCGGCTGGGGCGCGGATTCCCTGGTTCCGGTGCATCCTGACCCCCGCCCTGCCCACCCCACCCCATCCCACCCCACCCGCACTCGCAGGGAGGCCCAGGGGCAGGAGGGGAGCGCCCCGAGCCCCCTCCCCGCGGGCCCAGGGGGCCGGGGCGCCCCTTCCCGCAGCTCAGAGCCGGGCGTCTGCTGCCCCCTGCCGGCCAGAGGAGGGACGGCGGCCCGGCCTGCGCGGCGGGGGCTGCACCGGTGGCCCGGCCGCACCTCCCTGTCCTCGTCCTCGGAGCCACCCCTCCGCGCCGCTTCCCTTCCAGCCCCCCCGCCGCCCGGAGCCCATGACGGGAAATGGGTAGAAAGCCCATTGGCCCCGGCTCCCAGGCAGGGGAGACAGCGGCGAGCAACATGCCATCCCCACTGCGCCAGCCGGGCAAGCCTTGATGGAGCCAGGCCCCACCAGGCCCCACCAGGCCCCGCCAGGCCCCGCCAGGCCCCGTCAGGCCTTACACCCCCCAGGAGCACCACTCCCCACTTCACGGGAGTCACACAGACACGGGGGGGGGGTACCAACGCTCAGAGGGGCCCAGAGGCACAGGTAGAGGTAGAGACGCAGGGACACAGCTACGGAAGCGGGAGGAGGGGCAGGGCGGCCAGGAGAGGGAGGAGAGGGAGGCGGCTCCCCTTTGACCCCGGGGCCCCAAAGATGCTATCAGGCCAGACCCAGGCCGGAAAATCCTTCCTGGATCCCTCGCATTCCAGCCTCCGCCCGGCAGCTTTTACAGCCTCGGTGGCCGGACGCTGTTTATGGCAGCCCCATTCTGCAGCTCTTGTCTCCAGGCCCCAAAGGCATCTGGCCCGGCTGAGGGAGGCTTGTGGGGGCAGGGGTCCCCCGCCCAGCCTCCCAGCCTCCCAGCCCCTCCTTTGAACCCTGCTGGGTGCCGGAAGGAGGGGGCTGGGTGGGCGCCACAGGGCCCCTTGCAGGCTCCTCACCGCCTGTCTGGAGGCGGAGGCTGACCCGGGCTGCGGCCACCTCCCTCCCGAGGACCCCTGAGTCCTCACTCGGCACTTCCTTGCTTGTGACCTTGGGCACAGGCCTTGACGTGGTTTAACCTTCCCAAGCCTCAGTTTACTCTTCTGTAAAATGAAAATAATAGTACCTCATGCTTTTTTTAAAAAAATTTGACATATTATAAAGTGCCAGCCCTTGGGATCCAGCAGTTTAGCACCTGCCATTAGCCCAGGGTGTGATCCTGGAGTCCCAGGATCGAGACCCACGTCCGGCTCCCTGCATGGAGCCTGCTTCTCCCTCTGCCTGGGTCTCCGCCTCTCTTTCTCCCTGTGTGTGTGTGTGTGTGTGTGTGTGTGTGTCTCATGAATAAATAAATAAAATCTTAAAAAAAAAGTGCCAGCCCCAAACTGTAGCCAATGTCATTAGCTATCATAGAGTATAGTAAATAAGGCATAAACTGAAGATTTCCACCCCATGTAATGCCCTAGAACCTTCCCGCTAATTCCACTCCCGCTGGTGTGTGGCTGCGAGTGTGCTCTGGGCCCACGCTCCTCGCAGCCAGCGCCTGGGACCCCGCAGCCCCGCAGCCCTATACCCCACAGCGCTGCAGCCCCACGCCCCGCAGCTCAGCGCCCTGCGTCCTGCAGCCCTACACCCCACAACCCCACAGCTCTGCCGCCCCAGACCCCGCAGCCCAGCCGCCCTGGACCCCACACCCCGCAGCCCCGCGCCCCGCTGCCCTGAACCCAGCAGCCCTGCACCCCGCACCCTGCAGGCCCGCAGCCCTGCCACCTGGGACCCTGCAGCCCCGCACCCTGCAGCCCCGCAGCCCCACCGCCCGGGACCCCGCAACCCCGCAGCCCTGCACCCCGCAGCCCTGCACCCTGCAGCCCCGCAGCCCCGCGCCCAGCCCCGCCTTCCCGCGCCCCGCAGCCCCGCGCCCAGCCCCGCCGCCCAGGCGTGTGCGTGTTGCCCTCTGCTGGCCGCCGGGAGCACTGCACGCCCCGCTCCCCTCTGCCCCGAGGGACCCAGGGGGACCCACGCGAGGTCCCCTCCAGCTTTCCAGGGACCTGGGGCGAGACGCCTCCTTTGGGCAGGGTCCCAGCCCGACAAAGACCGGGGACAAGGGCAGCCTTGTGGCTCAGCGGTTTAGCGCCTGCCTTGGGCCTAGGGCCTGATCCTGGAGACCCGGGATCGAGTCCCATATCCAGCTCCCTGCATGGAGCCTGCTTCTCCCTCTGCCTGTGTCTCTGCCTCTCTCTCTCTGTGTGTCTCTCATGAATAAATAAATAAAATCTTAAAAAAAAAGACCAAGGGGGATCCCTGGGTGGCGCAGCGGTTTGGCGCCTGCCTTTGGCCCGGGGCACGATCCTGGAGACCCGGGATCGAATCCCACGTCGGGCTCCCGGTGCATGGAGCCTGCTTCTCCCTCTGCCTGTGTCTCTGCCTCTCTCTCTCTCTCTCTCTGTGACTATCATAAATAAATAAAAATTTAAAAAAAAAAAAAAAAGACCAGGGACAGCGAGGACAGCATCTGTGATGCTCCCCAAGACATAGGGAAGGGGAGCTGCCGAGGGTGGGAGGAGGGTGCCCCCCATGGGCCACAAGGGTGTCCTTGAGTCTGTCTGCAGGAGGACAAAGATGCTGGCGGGGCTGGAGCTGGTTCCGGGAGCATGTTCCAGAGACCGCTCAGGACCTGAGATGGACCCCTCCAGGCCGGTGGGCAGGGACGGGTAAGGAGCTGCCTCCTGTCTTCACCGCCCAGGCCCTGCAGCCCCCGGGGCCGAGGGCAGACAAGAGCAAGAACCTGGAACGTAGCCTGGGCTGCGATCCCTTTCCTGGCCCGAGGTGCCCAGAAGCCCCGGACCCCCCAGTCACCCCCCGCGCCCACCACTGAGCGGTTCCCTGTGAAGGTTCGTCAGTCCCAGGGGACCTTGGATGCCAGGCCTTCCCTCAAAGTCACCGGCAACGGGTCCTCGAGCAATGTCAAGGGCTGCGGGGCTGTGGTCCCCCTTTCTGCCCCCCAACTCCTTCCCGACCGCTGGCCCCTCCCCAGCACCACCACCCCCAGCCACCAAGAATTTCCAGCAGGAGGCTGGTTCCAGGCCCGTGTTTGTGTTTATCTGAGGACAGGCCCTGTCCTGCCAGCAGCTGCCCCTGCGCCTGACCCCCTGCCCTGCCCCCGGGCTCTGCCGCGCCGACACTGAGCAGGGCCTGCTGGGGGGCCCGGGCAGCCTGCGCCCCGACGGCGTGGGCCGGGGCCTGAGGCCTCCCCTCGGGGAGCCAGGTGGCCCCTTGAGCTGCTTGTCCTCGCTCGAGTCCCTGCATTGCGCCTCCGCAGGCCCGGTCAGAGCCCCCCTCAGCCGGTGTCCCCCCAAGCGGCAGGCGCCAGGGTCTGGACCCCGCCCCCCGCACCCTCTCGAGCGGGGTCTGGGAGTCGGCCCGCGGGCGGTCGGGCCGAGGCATAAACACCCGGCGCGTGGGAAAGAGGCTGGAGGCCCGGAAGGGAAAGCGACCGGCAGGTCATAAACAGAGCAGGACCTTCTGTAAATAGAGGGGAGCTCGGCATAAACACGAGCCCCAGCCGAGCGGGCTGCCACGCAGGACCCCACAAACAGCTCCGCTGACCCCCTTCCCACGCAGCGCTGACCGAAGGGCCCGGGAGCACCTGACCCAGGGAGGAAGAGGCCTTGGAGCGGAGCGGGGTGACCGCAGGAACACGAGCCTGCGGCTGTGGGAAGGGGCCCGCACCGGGTGGGAGTGGATGGTCTCTGAGCGGCGAGCAGATGGAGGTGACGCTTCCGGGGTGACTCCCGGTGTCAAGGGCAAGTGCAACCTGCCGCCACCTCGCCTTCGCCTCATCCTCCCACCCCCTCCCGCCAACCCCACGGAGTGGACCGAGGCCCGGCCACAGCCAAGGGGAGCGATCAGAGCCGGCTGCTCCGAAGGCCAGGCCCGAGCCACCACCGGTGCCCCAGCCGGAAACAGCGGGAGGGCCCGACCCAGCACCCAGCACCCAGCCGCACAGAGCCACTTCCTCCCCCCCCTTGTCCTCTGACTCCTCTTACCCTGTCCTTCCTCCCGGCTCTGCTTCTCCTCCCTGCAGGCGGCCACACCTCCCAAAGCATCAGGTTCAAAGGCGAGACTGTCACCCCAGCACTGCTCCTCCAGCTCACCTGGGCAGTCACACTGAGATCCCTGG